ATGTTGATTTCCTACCTAGTCTCGCTTCTTGTATCTATTTAATAAACAACAATGTATCATTGTAATTGCAAGTGATAGAAATAAAATTATTCTATTTGTCTTACATTCTTGACATGGAATCAGAGTAAAACACGACCCCTACCCTATCAGAGACCTCCATGGCCTCCTCTTTCTCCTCAAATATCCCTTTCCATATCTCCTCCATCCCTCTGATTCTCCTAGCCTCATTCTTGTTTCCGGTCTTCTTACAGGAGATAATTTTCCAAAATGGTAAAAGGCCATGACCTGAGCACTTAATGCCAAGAACAAGCTCAGTTTTGTCGATGGCTCCATCCCCACCCATGATTCTAGCTCTTCAGAATACACACAATGAAACCAAACCAAGGACATGGTCCTTCGCTGGATTTTAAACTCCATCAGTCCATCTCTAGCCAACTCACTTGAATACCATACAGACCTACGAAAAGTTTGGATTGACCTCCAATCTCGTTTCAGCCACGGCAATAATGCATGCCTCTATCACCTCAAGCGTGAGCTTTCCTCTTTGCAACAAAACACCAACTCCATCCACATCCATGAATATTACAACCAAATGAAACAAATATGGGATGAATTAAGCCATCTTCAAAACAACAATGACCTCAAGGATTTGCAAAAACAAGCCGACGATAAACTAGTCTTCCGATTTCTTCTTGGCCTAAATGAGTCTATTGCCCAACTCAGAACCCAAAACCTAGCTATGGATCCCCTTTCCCTATCACAAATGTTTTCTCTATCATATTTCAAGAAGAGCAGCAGAGCCTCCTTCGCATCCGACCACTTCCGGTGGAATCCATGGCCTTCGCAGCAACCAACTTTAGCAACAAAAGAAGTAATCTTCGTTGCACTGAATGTGGCAAAATGGGTCACACCTATGATCGATGCTGAAGGATCATCGGATACTCACCCAATCAACGCTTCAAGCTATGCCCCTTCCTTCTCGGCAAACCACCGCCTAGATTATCTCTGGTGGCAAATCAAGCCTCTTTCTCCCAAGAATTGTCGTCAGTACCATGATTAACACCGAAACTCTACCAAAAATTGTTGGACTTGCTCAATCAGACATCCACTCTCTCCAATTTCATCGGTAACGCCACTTCTACTCCATCATCTTTCGATAACCACCACGACTAGGTCATGGACAGCGACGCTAGCGCCCACATGTGCTACGATCGGTGTGCTTTCTCAAATTTGAAATCCCCACCTTCTTCTCCCTCTGTGTAATTGCCAAATGGGCATACCATCCCTATTAAGGGTATCGAAAATTGCACACTATCCCCCTCCTTTACCCTTTTAAATGTCTATTTTACCCCGACTTTCTTTTCAATCTCTTATCTGTCCATCAGCTTACCACTAACACAAATTGCATTGTTTCTTTTTTCCTTTAAAATTTTCTTGTTTCAAGACCAACAATCGATGAGGTTGGTTGGAGCATGTGATTTTTTCAATGGGTTCTATGTGTACCGGCCTGACAATGTTCTGGCTCTCTCTGTGTAATCCACTGCTAATAAAGATTATGGCATTCCTCATTTTTCATGTTTTGGATTGTGATATTTGTGTCCATTCTAAGTACACACATTTGCCTTTTTCCTCTAACGATAATAAAAGTTCTTTTGCTTTCAATAGAATATTTTGTGACATTTGGGGTGGCTATCATACTCTTCCCATTTGTGGTTCTCATTATTTTCTCACTATAGTCCATGATTTTTCACGTACCACCTGGATCTATCTTCTGCGTTACAAATCTGAGGCATATACAAACCTCTTACATTTCTTTGCCCTTGTTCAAACTCAGTTTAATACCATTGAAGTTAATTCCATGTAGACACTTGAACAACTCCCTCCTGGTAAGAAACCTATCGGTTGCAAATGGGTTTTTAAAACCAAGCTCAAAGCAGATGGTTCCATTGAAAGATATAAAGCTTGCCTGGTTGCAAAAGGCTACACTATTGTAAAAATGATTACTGTCTGGTGTTTATTAGTTGTAAATGTCGCTATGCAATGGATCATTCATCAACTTGATGTCAACAATGCCTTCTTACATGATGATCTTGATGAAGAAGTGTACATGATACCACCTCCCGGATATTGCCCTAAGGGGGAGACCCAGTTATGTCGCTTCCGTAAATCTCTCGACGGCCTCAAACGAGCATCTTGCAACTGGTTTTTTAAACCAACCACTTTTCTTCTTGATACAGGTTTTACTCAATCTCAAGCAAATCACTCTTTTTTACCCTGGTAAAAAACACGAGTATCACCATTGTGCTTGTCTACGTTGATGATATTTTGGTTGCTGAAAATGATCTCTCTCAAACTGAGGTCTTCAAATGTGCTCCCTCCACCAATTTCAAAACCAAGGATCTCGATCCCCTCAAATTTTTTCTTGGTCTTGAAGTTGCTCGTTCACAAAAAGGCATATTCCTTATTCAAAGAAAATATGCTCTTGATATTTTGAATGGCAGTGACCACATTGGTACCCGGATCGCTCATTTTCCCATGGAACAAAACTTGAGGCTCACAAATCAAGATGGTGCCCTTCTTTTCGAACCTAGCGCCTATCGACGACTTGTGGGATGACTCATCTACCTAACCATCACTTGTCTCGATATTGTCTTGACAGTGAACACTCTTAGTCAGTTTATGCATACTCCCTATCTTCCTCAAATGCAAGCCACCACTCGTGTTCTCCAATACATCAAAGGTAGCTCAGGCCAAGGAATTTTTTTCCAATCTCCAATGCTTTACATGTTACTGCCTATACTGATTCAGATTGGGCAAGCTGTCCCAACACTCGTAGTTCCATCATCGACTATTTCATTCAACTTGTCACAAGTCCTATTTCTTGGTGCACAAAAAAATAAACGACAGTAGCTCGCTCTTCCGCTGAAGCTGAATATCGTGCCATGGCCGTCACCACTTGCAAGCTTACCTGGTTGAAACAACTCCTCACTGACTTTGGTATTCCTCACCCTGAACCTTTCAGCTTACATTGTGATAATCAAT